TATATATATATATATATATATATATTTGTTTATTTATTTATTTGTAAGACATCTACATGGTTCAAACTTTCCATAATCTTCTACATAAATATAATCAACTTATCAAATAATATCTATGACCCGTATGTTGATCATATGCATCTTTCCTCCGTAATTTTTAGTCTAGTTAGTTATTTTTAGATAATTAATGTTAATAAATTTCAAGAAAGCTTAACTTAAATATTTTCAATATATGGTGTAAAAAAATATATTTTCAATATAATGATAGTCAAGGTTTAGTTTACTTCACATAAATTAATTTAACCCAAAGGCTATGTTTGATTACTGAGATAATAAAAAAATTGTAGAATGTATATAAGTGCTTTAAGGACAACATTAACTTATTTTTATCTTTTGTCTAAGGAGATATTTATGATAGGCCCTAAAATGAATAATGAGAGAGGAAATAAAAAAACCGAAAAGGGTGAAATACATTGTAGAAAATCACAATGACAAATCACATTTCATTCTCATGTTCTACTCTTACATTAATTCTCCTCCTACATGTCATTATTAGTAACGCACAAGATAAAATCTTTAGTTTATTACCCATTTTGTCACTCAAAAAGCTCCAAGGAATAGCACTTTCCATTAAATACATCTAATATAGATATTTTAGATACGCGTCTTAAAGTTATCGTGAAGCCTTTAAAATGAAATGTAATTGTATGAAGAGCATATATATTAACTAACTATACTAAATTTTGAATAAACGTATGAAAAATATACATGAATAAATTCCTATCATTAACATACTTAATGGAAGAGGGAAGAGAGGTGAAAGTAAACAAAAGAAAGTGGGAAAATGAAGCAATTATTTTGTGCCGCTGGTTTTGAAGCTTACACCATACAAGTTAGGTTGAAGCTGCTTGTTTTTATTTCAGTGAAACTATACAAGGGGCGAGTGCTAACTTATGCTACGATGCTGTTTCTTAGTACCTACGTTCTAAATTATGTTGCAACATAAAAAGGTACTCATGAAGAAAAATTAAATTTGAAACTATTGATGCCATGTCACCCAAAAAAATAAAAATGGAAAACGAATATATTATATATGTGGTCACAGCTACGCATTTTGGAACTTTTAACACCTTTCGTGATGGAGACTGGAGAGGGCTAGAAAGATCGTTTAGGGAGAGAAGGTAATTAAGGAAGGGAAAGAAAAAAATGTGGCAACAAATTACATGCCTAAAATGTGTGTTAAGCAGTTCACCATTGTGTTAAGCATGGTAATTACGGCGCTCTTCCTTTAGGTAATTAATGGATTAATTTATTTGATGCCTTTCTATGTTAAACTCTCCCCTATAAATAAATTAATCCATTTAAAAATATCAACTCATAACATAACCATTAAAAATGGTAAATAGTGCTCAATATCTATAAGAATCTGAATAAAATCCTTTATTATCCATTTTCCTGGGATTATTTTTCTCCTTCGGTTGATACTCTAGTCAGTGGTTATTTCTTTTAAAGAAAATCCCCTGATTAATGCATAAAGACAAAGTGGTTCACATTATTTTTTTATTAATTAAAAGATATAACCTTTTTTATTAAGTCAGTTTTTATAAAAGAAAGTAATACTTTTAATTCTCACTCTATGTCCAATTTAGATATATATCGAACTCTTATAACTCTAAATTCACATTATTAAGACTTACCATCATTCTTTATTTTTATTTTTATATACAAAAAAAAAAATTATTTTTGAGTGTTCATGGATCGATTTTCAAAAAATCGATTTAAATCGAACCAAACTATTTTATAAAAGTGGATTGGTTAATCAATTTATTTTTTATAAAGTGGATCGGTTTGATTAATATGGATCGATTCTTTTGAAATTGAATCGGTTCGGTACGATGCAGTTATCCACTTTTTACTCATATATAGATCGATTTTATAAAAAAATCAAACCGAACTATACTGATTCACTTTGTAAAAATAGATTGGATAACTGAAGCGGTCTTATAAAGTAGTTCGATTTAAATTTTTTTTAAAAATAGATCAAAATTTTCAATACAAATCAGATTAATTATGAATTAGTTGATCAATTTGAATTTTTTTGCATACTCCTAAACTTAATAAAATATGAAAAGGCAAGTTAGTGGCAAAATGGCTATGAAACAACATTATCAGTAAAAGTTCCACATTATTGTGAAAATTCTTTGAAAGAAAAAAAGAAAAAAAAACTTAAAAAGAAGGAGGTTCCTGAGCGATTATTGTGTGGTCCCTCCAACTTTCTTATTTAGTATAGTTACTGAAAAGTACAAGGCCATGGAAAAGAGGTGATAGCTAGTTTCGTCGGTTTATGCCCGTGTAACCTAAGTTCTAAATTGACCACCCACCCCTCGCAATACGTGACTTGAACCAACGAGTAGAAAGCGAGTGCATTTTATTTTCTATTCTTTTTTCTTTTTTTTTTCTTTTTCAAACTTTATTTCCCCTATAAATCCCACGTTGTGCAGAGGAAGCAGCCACCACACACCAATTCCCATTCCCCTCTGTTCTTATTCTCTGCCTATAACTTGGTGACCTTTCTTTCTATTTCTCATTCCCAATTCACTCACTCCTTCCCCACAACTTTTTTTTCTTATTAAATTGGTATAGAATGACGAACAAGAATATTGTGGTGGCTCCTATTGGGAAATCATCACGTGTTAATAACACGCTTGTGGAGTTAGCAATGTCGATTTCAAACTCAAATGCTCTACCTAGAGCCGCAGTGCCCAGAATAATGGCCTTGTTTGGTGGGGTTTTGGGCTTAGGCCTACCCCAGAAAAAGCTCTTAATCAAAGATGGGACCAAAGTTAACACATGGATTGATTCAATGAGAGCCTCTTCTCCCACTCGAGTCAAATCCACGCAACAAAACCAAGACCCCATTAGTCCTTGGACTGTAAGCATAAAGATATATACAAGCCTTGTTTTTTTTTTTTTTTTTAACAACTTGCATGGTGTGATCGATTGGATTGAATTGAACCCAACCTTTTGGTGTTATTGTATAAATATGCTCATGACCTGACTCTGTTCGCAGCTTTACCACCCTTCGGCACTGAACATGTTGGATCAGATTGTGTGTGACTCCAAAGGGAAGCAGATTGTGACTTTTCTTGACTATGATGGAACTCTCTCCCCAATTGTTGCAGATCCAGATAAAGCATACATGACTAAAAAGGTTCACCTTTTCTTCTCTTCTCTCTTCATTTTTTTTCTTCTTTTAATTTCCCACTCATACAATAACCTCAAATTCATCGATTTTCCTTTTTTTAATAAATCAGATGAGGGCCACGTTAAAGGACCTAGCAAGGCATTTCCCCACCGCCATCGTCAGTGGAAGGTGCATAGACAAGGTACATTTTTTTTAAGAAAAATTATTGTTATTATTATTAATTACTTGCTCAGAACTAATTTGGATTTTGTTTTTAACGTTTTTTAGGTGTATAGTTTTGTAAGATTGGCAGAACTGTACTATGCTGGGAGCCATGGGATGGACATCAAGGGACCAACAAATAGGCGAAGTACTAAGAAAGTGAGAAAAGTTCCCATAACCAAATTATAATGAAACCAAGATTTTTATCATGTTGTCCTTACTTGTCATCATGTTTTCTTTCATCAGGGAAATGAAGAAGTGCTATTGCAACCCGCGAGTGAATTCTTACCCATGATCAATGAGGTTGGTCCACTTATTTATTGAATCTCAGTTCTCAATTTCTCATATGATTTTGGCAACACATACATAGCGTATATACGATTTTAACTGTGCCGTTATCATTGTTCTATTATGGGTTCAGGTGTACAATATCCTGGTGGAAAAAACAAAGTCTGTCCCGGGGGCTAAGGTAGAAAATAACAAGTTTTGCTTGTCCGTGCACTTTCGCTGTGTTGACGAAAAGGTACCAACATTTAACAAAATATTCAATATAATAGCTCACACGCACCACTTGCACACACGCACGCGCACCAAACACGTTAATTAATTCACGGCTAATATTCATTTATATCTAGCTAATACTATTATTATTTTCCTTAGAATTGGGTCGCATTGGCTGAACAAGTTAGCTTGGTGCTCGATGAGTACCCAAAACTAAGGCTAACCCAAGGGAGAAAAGTGCTAGAGATACGACCTACCATAAAATGGGACAAGGGCAAGGCTCTGGAATTCTTGCTAGAGTCACTAGGTAAGTAGTGTTCATGCAGAGAAATATCATCAACTTTTCTTAATTTGTTTGAGAAATAAAGGTGTTATGTTATGATGGTACGATGCTCATGACCTATACATGTCCTAACTTTTTTTTTAATCAATTATTTTTGTATTTTCAGGATATGCTAATTCTGATAATGTATTTCCAGTCTATATTGGAGATGATCGAACTGACGAAGATGCTTTTAAGGTAATTAACAAATGCCACCACCACCACCACCTTGTTAAAATTATTGTGTTAGTATATTCCATGCGTATATTACTATTTAAAAATTATTGATATATTGGATATAATATAATCAGGTTTTACGGAGAAGGGGCCAAGGGGTTGGGATTCTTGTTTCTAAAATTCCAAAGGAAACCAATGCTTCCTACACTTTGAAAGATCCAACAGAGGTATAGCTAGGTTTAATATTCTCAGTCCAACATGATTCATATTCTTTTTTCATGTGAACGATGAATTATATCCAAGCTAAATATATCAAAAATACTTTTTTTTTTCACAGGTTGGGCAGTTTTTGCGGCATTTGGTGGAGTGGAAAAGAACGAGTTCCCAATACCACTAGTTGTAGATTCTAGACATGAGTTCAGGGAAATTGACACCAGCCCAGAATTTGGTCAAGGGGTGGTTCCAATTATATATCCCTTTCTTGTTGGAAATAGGAAATAGTATGTTGCATAATTTAAAGTTTTAGGGAGGGGACAAAGTTCAAATATAGCTAGGTTCTCTCTCTCTTTCTTTTATTTGATTTTTTTTTTTTAAATGTACTCTATTCCTTCACACGTTTGCATGCGCATGCGGATAGTGAAAGAACTGATGTTTTATGCCGCAATTGCGAATGGCGCGTCAACCTTCTTGCTCTGAATTGTACTTGTCGTACGTGTGGACAATGTGGTATTGAAAATGAAAATCACCAACTTCAACTTGAAAAGGTGATTTAGACTATCACAAGTGCAAGATGGCTTCGTACCTTAATAAATAAATTTATTTATAATTTGTTTGCATTACCTATTTCACCGCAAACGGCGTTTCTTGAAAGAAAAAAATTGATTTCCATTGACAAAGATGGCAAACTCTCAGTTTTGCATCAAATAAGATTCTAACCTAACTCGATGTTAGAGATGTTACGTGAATAATATATTGAGAGGATGAATAAATTAAACGATATAATTAAATATGTAAAATGGTATATATATATATATTACATGAAATTGAGCAGAGAGGTTTTATATTCACAAATTTGGAAATATAAATGATATGAAATGAGTATATATGAAGTGTTGTACGATAATGTTACTTTTACTTTTTGTCAAAATAAAAAATAACTTTGAAGATTGAAGACATAAAAAACGTTCATATTTGATATATTTTATTTCAAAAATTAATTACTTTTCTTTTTGTTTAGATAATTCTAAAAACATGCAGCAGCTTTTTTAATTAAAGTAAACCAAACATATTCAAACTCTTTTGATTCTTTGTTTGAGCAATGCATATTTGATATTGCTACTTAATTAGAACACGTCCCTCAACAAAGGAATATAGTAAACTTTGGATTTAAATTATATTATTGTTCTAATGTAGATACATCATACATGTTATCAGCATTACGGTTATATAGTGGTAATTCTGTGAAATTTTATATTCGTATCTCGATCTTGGAATAATTTTAAGCTTCTTTGTAAAGGGTTAGTTAAGAACAACAATACAACATACTGTAAATGGCACACTCGAGAAACTTATGGATAGTAGTGTTCTCGGGTTCCTTTACATATATTATACTAAAGAACTGTAGCTTAATTAGTCTCGCAGCCAATTAAGTGAAGGTGAAGATGAAGAAAATGAATTAAAGAAGCAAAAACCATGTGAAATCTTGAACTTGGTGTCTTTACCCTCATTTCCACAATCTGAGCCAGATTATTAATCTTTCACGGGAGTAGTGACAGCTGTACATTACAATACAGTTGTCAAGATACCCCCTTGTCATGCAGGTAAAATGGAACACTGATTAAGAAGTACACGCGTGTTGAAAATGCATTGACATTTGGATTCAAAAGAAATAGTATGAACTTTAATAATTAATTGGGAGGTTTGTCGTTTTTGGAGGACATACCCAGCACACTGACACAAATGTGAGTTGGAAATTAATTAAACCTATTTTCGTAGTGTAATTTTTTATTTTGAGATTCTGAAATATATAAATTTATGTGAACAATATATAGTAGTTATATCAACAGTAAGGTTGGGTGGTGAAAAGAAGTCCGTTAATTTCGCATGCAATGCAATACGATGCAAGCATATCGTTGTCATATCATGAGTCATGTGTGTAGGAGAAAGGAATAGCCTCAATTTTTAACTGTGACTAAAAGTCCACGATGTGTATACCCAGAAAGCGATGTAGAGCATGCTTTGCCTTGTTAATAATAATTGTTCGATCGATATAAATTTCAAATTTTAGGTAGGAGCATAGCATAGATACTATACCAATGTGGTTAGCAATTATTCATCATGTTTGCATTTTGCCATATTTTCCTTACTCCAATTGTGCACATTTTGCATTGCCTAACATTCTGAAATGAGTAACCCTATGCTAATGCTAAAAGTAAAACCCCAAGTCTCACCATTGGATCACGAAACTACTTCCATTATTGCCAACCAACCAGCCACCCCTATTCCTTATAGTCAAGGTGCTATGCGTGAAATGAGTTGGTCACGCCATTACCAAACAAAGGGTAGTCATTTTGAAGAAGGTATATGACAATTAGTCTCAGACTCACAGTACATGAACCTGCTTGGTCCTGTACCTCCCAACTTGTATACAGGGCATCAATGTTCACCCTTTTGTCAGACAAAGTTGGAAAAAGACACAAGCACAAACACAATGGTTAATTTTAATAAGCCTTAATCTGACGCAGATATTATTATGATCCTCACTAGACCATATTTTAAGACTAAAGATAAAGGGAATAAGATCTGGGGCTAATATAAAATAAAACTAATTAAAAGTGAAGATGATCCTAATTCCTAACATACCCTAGCTACAATTAACTATTGAAGCTGAAGAGATGGTAACCATTGGGAACCTTGATTTGATTTGACAGAGCCAACCTCGATCAAATATTATCATGAGAGTGGTATCTGAAAACAGTAATATTTTAAAGAATGGGAGGGATCTGATATCTAGTTTAATGGCTTGGTTTTCAAAGGGTTAGGTGCGTGAAAGGGAAATCCACTAATTGGTGAATCTTATAAATGGTTGAGGAGGAGTTGGAATCCACTTAAAGTGCTTGATTTGAAGAAGACACGAGGGAGGATTCATAATGGGGACACCAAACATGTTTCCAAGCCTTCGAACCCAACCCTCGCCTTCATTTTCATACGTGTAAAGAAAGCTTGCCACTAGATTCAGTTTCATCATTGGTGCCTTAAATAAAATACTATATGCCAAGCCTTACAAGCTCCAATTATTGCCCATTCCTTAACACATTTAACTGCACCCCCTTGTAACTCTGATATTATTCCAAAATTGCACTCATCAATGTGTCGATCATATTCATCATTTCTGTGAAAGCTAAGAGAGAAAAAAAAATATATATATATTTTTATATGCAAATACTTGTACTACTTCGTTTCCTATTATGGGCGATTTTCGAGGCAATTCAGAACACCTGAGTGCCTTTCAGTTGTGGCCTTTTTGCTCCCAATAAACCACACCTGAGAATTAAATAATAGAAAAGAAAAGTACCCTACTTCAGAGTATTATTGCTAATTAAAATACATTACATTCTATATATTATAACCCAAAAACTATATTTATAAGTTAAAAGACCTTGGCCATGACATTTTTCTAAACCTTTCACATTTCCCATCATATCAACAACTTTTGTTCTAGTTTAATTATTAGTTGTATATGCTTTAATAATTAAGTTAGCTAGCAAGCTACAAGGCATGCATATGGTTCTCTGTAATGCATTATTTGCCATAGAGATACTCAATAATGGATCTCCATAGACCTGTCTGCCCTCTGAGGAAGGACATCGATCCAAATGGTCCCCACATGAAGAGAGAGCATATTTAGGCGTACATTCGATATATATAAGTATTAACAATGTTGTTACTCATCCATGTCTCTAGAACAATAACTAACCAATCAATAAATAGCTTTTATTAAAAATTAAGAATACCTTCATTTTTTTTTAACTTTGTAGAGTGTGGATTAATACTGAGTCGTTTGTTACGGCTAGCTAGCATTGAATATTTGGATTATATGTACTTATGAAATAGTTGCTGCTGTTAGAGGGAGCAAAGATAAAAGGGTTATTGCTGGTATCTAGCCCTTCAGTCATACTATAGTATAGTACGTTAAAAAGAAAGTTAGTATGAAGGAGAAAGATAAATTAAAAGATAGTTATAAAAGAGATATATGGTTGAGCATTATGCAGGCTTTCGGCTACCGTGCATCCAGTCAGTTCTTCTAATGGGACAGATGTTGCCATAACGAGCATGCAGTTCGCTTTGGTGACTATAAAATGCTTCAATGGGTTGGCACCTTACCTTTCCATACCTAAAACTTGTAAACCTTTATTTTTTTTCTTTTTAAGTCAATTTGTGGAGGTATAGCTCCTTCTCATCCTGTCGTCTTTTATACATATAAAATGATACTTTCAACTGAAACTTTATGCTTACTTAAATCAAGGATTGAATCTTAGTTTTTAATTAAAAAATATAAGTGTTGAATCATTTAAACTAATAATTTTTGATAATTTTAAATGATTGTTAAAGAATTTCTTGCGATATTATTTACATTCTTTTTCAATGACTGAAAAATTTATTAGGTAATAGAAGAACACTAAATATTTATGTCTATGTCAATTTTTATATAATATGTATTTAAATTTTTAAATTATGAAGAAAAATTAATAACATTATTATATGTCATATAAAAAATAGTCAAATAACATGGTTTCTAGTTCCACCTAATAATTTTTATATTTTTCATAAGGATTGATGTGCAATTAAAAATAATGATAGAAAGAGAAAGTCACACTTAAGATAATTGATGTGCAATTAAAAATATAACTAAAGATATGTATATATATAGAGAGATTCATTTACTTCAAATATAAATTTGGTAGAATTAGTTTACTCAATAACTCATTATTAATATTGAATTTTAACAATCTAATCGTTAAATTAAAATTTTTTAATAAATAAATTAAATTTTTAAATTTTTAAAAAATTTAAATATATATATATATTTCCTTGTATATATTAAAATTATTCTTATTGAAAAAAATAGCCATTATTTTCAAAGAAAAACTTATAATGCTCCAATTTAAGATAATTATTCATATTTAATATATAATTGCATCTTCAATAGTAGTTTTTATAATTAAGTAACTTATTAAGGTACATTCTTATATACTTTGAAAGAGATCTACAATGTCACATTATTTTAAACAACTCATACTACATTTTTTTAAAACTTTTGTTCCAATAGTAAGGTCTTATAAGCAACCTACACTTTTATAATTTTTTTTTAATTTATACTTCACTTTTTGACAACTTAAAAAATTAAAGTAATTATTATAATTAAATATTAATTTAATTAAACATAATAAATATTTTTTTTTATTTGTGAGAGTGGTTTTTAAACAATATTGTTTATTTAAGAGTTTCTTATTTTTAAGCAATTTCCTATATCATGTCATCACATTCCAATGAGAGTTGCTAATTATGAAACTAGCTTGGAGATGTTGATTTTCCTCTTCAATTAGCTTTGATGTTTGCCCAATCTTCTTTCATAGATCAACCAACTCAAAAGAAATCTTCAAATGATGGAGGAGGAATGAGGAGGCATATGCCACTTCAAGTGAAGATAAGCATAATGTGAAGAACTTGTAACAAGAAAAAATTCCTTAATAAAAGTTCACAAAGAGAGAATTTCTCCAAGAGAGAGAACAAGACTTTTAGAGAGAACAAATTTGAATTTTATTTTCAAAATGCTCAAAAGTGTGTGTACATAGGAGGAAGAACCTATATAGCGTTTGATAGTCTATGGTGCAAGTTAACCTAACCATGATTAAGTGTAATTGAGATTAAGTTAACTTGTACTTAAGATAATCAACTATAGTTACATTATTTTCCTCTTAAAAAAATGTCACTATCCTAAAACTCAAAGAGCCCATGGGAGCTTACCACTTGGCAAGATGTGAAAGGTGTGATTAGACAAAATTCATGTGATTTATTTGAGTCTTGAATGAATAATAATAAGACATCTTATCCCTCTTTGATGTTAACATCTAACCACTTGTATACCACATAAGTAGATATCTAACTTCAAAGGTTATGCATCCAAGAGATGTTTTCATGGGTCATTCAAGGTTAATAAGTCAAAAACTCCTTTCTAGTTACACCTTTCCCAATATACTAATTACACTCCTAAAAGGAATATTATAATGAAATAAATTCCTGCACTATTTGATTCAAAAATATAAGATAAAAAATATGAAATATATATAAACACACAAAACCATATGAATACAAAATTAAGAAGTCATAAGGATGAAGGAAGAATCAGGTGCACCTCAAAGAAGACTAGGTACACCACCCTAGCCTTCAAGAAAAAGCTTGGATTTTTAGATCTTCAAGTAATTATTCTAAATCTTCCTCCAATTTTCAAGCCATCAAAATATACACAAAATAATATGTACAAAAGAAAGAAATAGGCTTTAATAGCTTCGTAGATGACTCTCTTAGAATTTCATAGTGATTCATTCCTTTCTAAGAATTCCTTGAAAACATGATTGTATACCTAATAAGCACCGTTATTTATTAGTAAAATACACACACACTATGCATTGGAAATACTCTAAGAGTAACACTAATAACTATTAATCTTTTATTTAATATTTATGTTGATTTGGAGTTAAAATGTATTCTTTGTTCTTTTTATAAGATCTAATTATCTAATTTATTGGTATTAATAAAGTTGGTTAATTTAATTAATATATTATATTTTTTAAATTTATTTATTTCTTCAAAATTATTCCCGACATTAATAAGACACTTGCACCACTTATTACATATTGTTTTTCCCTTCATGTATTTTTTTTTCATTATTTTTTAAGCTTTAACATGCTTCGAAACCCGAGTGGATGATTTAGATACGTCACTATCTAAACTTCATAAAAGCTAATAATATATCGGAGAGCAAGCATCCATAATATATGTAAAATGAAATTTGTAATATTGGATTTTTTAAAATAGTTAATATATCTCTAGTGTAAATATATTTTCTATTTTATATTCTTAAATTGTTGAGGAAAACATATTATTATAAGTATTTTATATAAATATTGGATTATAATGCCAGAAACCAAGTACTATAACTAGAGCAAAGTTTCATTGCATGGCAGAAACTTCCTTGAAAGGAGAATAGCAAATAGAACTTGCTCAAATATACTAAGATTTCAATTAAACTCTCAGATTAAGGATGCAAGATTCAAACTTATTGGCAGATTATACATACATGTTACGGAAAATCATGTTCTATGTCTACTCTTAGAATGTACCCTCTGTAGAAAACCGTACCAAATTATTAAGAATTAGATTATTAATAATTTATATAATGCTAAAACATGAAAACCACAATTTGACTTTGAAATTATTTTAGATTGTTTTGATTCCACTGCATGTATCATGGACTCTTAATTTCTTATACATTACACATAACAATAGATGTCTTTTTCATATTTCAGACAACAAATGACGGCCCAGTACAGCCCACATAATGGCCCACTCCCACTCACGAAAAAAAAAACTAATCAGTGTTGTATCGAGCCTCAACTCAACCCAATCCAGTGGCCCACTCACACTCACTCCATTGCTGCGATAACTTAGGGTTTGTTTAGTGTGTTGACAATGCTGTTTCTTCTGCGTGCGCGCCCACCATAGTGTTCGTGCGTCCGTCGCCAGAGTTCGCGTGTTTGTCCACCGCGCCAACGGCCACAGGATTCGTCATTGTCAGCGTGCGCCACAGGTATCTTCTCATTTGCTTTTTGCGATTTTAATTTAAGAAATTACTTTATATTTGATGTGATTAAGCTTAAGCAATTGCTCTGTTTATGCATGGAATAGAATTTTTTTAATTTTTAATTTGTTGGTTTTTAAAATGTTGAAGTTCTAATAAGAGTTTGGGAGTTGAATGTGAGAGGTCATTGGATGGGGGACGATTGGGTGCTTATTAGCTATCAAATAAAATGATGAAAAGAGGAAAAAAAAAACGCCAAATTCATTGAGATGGCCCTTTGCGATGCTGCTATATCTGTGTATCTTTTCTGAAGATCTAAAGATTTTCTTTTGGAAAAGACAGGAGTCGCTCACTGTTGAAAGTTGAAACCAGTATAAAGTAATAGAGCCTAACTAGTTTTGGAGTGTGTAATAGTTTCTTATTAGCTTCGCCAGTGCACACTGTTGACTCCTCATTTTATAAAGACAGAGCAGTGAGTTGCTTGTACATTGTTATTTGGTCAAGTATGGGAAGGTTGGGTAGTTTTGTATATCAAGTTAGTTTTTTAAGGCTTTTTCTGTGTCCTGTTGGCATTGTCTGTCATCGGGAGGAATAAAAGTCAGTAAAATGACAGGTTTTCAGTAATTGTTACTTGGAATGGGAATATAATTCTGTTTGTGAATTCTGCAAGGTATTCGGTTATTGGGGAAAAATTAATATACTTTTAATGTCGAATTGGGATCAACTAGGACAGAAATACTTCTTATTCACTTTCAATTTTCAAATCACTTGTGCATTTTCTTTTTCATTCAGCATCACTAGTTTTAGATCAATAAGGCTTTTTATCGACTGCTAAATATTTATAGTTGAATAGGGTTCTAATTTGATCTGCTTGATGACCTTATAATATCTGTTAGACAATGTACTGTGGGTTTTCAGCTGAGAAGCATATGAAATTGAATTGAGCTATTTAATAAATATATCTTCATTTTTTTTTTATCCTGACATGTTTTAGTTTTTAACTTCATTTGGAGTTTGTGTGCATAGATATGCATCTGATAAATAAGAAATAAGAAACCCAGGATATGGACATCGTATGTATTGCTTGTTGAGAAGATTTTACCTTCATAACTGTTAGGAGATACACTCTATGTCAGCTTTCCTGTTAGATGGGAATTGCATTTGACTATTGTTTCTAACTATAATTTTCTATGAAGTTAAACTAATATAAATTATTAAAAGTTATGGCTTTCTTTTTGACAGACTATAGCTTTGAATAGTTCTCTAGCAGCTCAGGGTAAACTCTACATTGATGATGACAACAACTTTAACTTTCAAACTTGCCTCTTACTTGGTCTCTTATCCTTCTACCAGTCATATTCTTGTCACTTCTAAACAATGGAAAACTCAGATACAATGCTGACAACTTCATCCTTGCCTCCACCACCTCCAGTAGCTGTGGAGGAGCCAGAGCCCAAGAAGTTGAAGATGTCCACCACAACCTCTGATGATGAAGAATGTGCAACTACCACAGGCAGTAAGATAAGATACAAACGCCATAAGGTAGCTATTTTCTTTGCTTACTGTGGTGTTGGCTATCAGGGTATGCAGAAAAACCCTGGTGCAAAGACCATTGAAGGTGATCTAGAAGAAGCTTTATATGTGTCTGGAGCTGTACCTGAACAGGATCGTGGAATTCCTAAACGGTACGACTGGGCTCGCTCTGCTAGAACAGATAAAGGAGTTAGTGCTGTTGGTCAGGTTGTCTCAGGCCGATTCTATATTGATCCACCTGGCCTTGTTGACCGCCTTAATTCAAATCTTACCTCTCAGATAAGGATCTTTGGTTACAAGCGTGTGACAGGTTCTTTTAATGCCAAGAAGTTCTGTGATCGGAGGAGGTATGTCTATCTCATTCCTGTGTTTGCTCTTGATCCATGTTGTCATCGTGATAGAGAGACTGTCATGGCTAGTTTGGGATCTGGAAACGAGCTTGTTAAGTGTTTCGAGTGTTCTGAGAGAGGTCGAAAGGTGGTAGGATTAGTTGGTAATCGTAAGCACAATCTGGAACTAGAAGCTATGGATGTTGATGCTGGTATTTCATCAAACAAAAATGTTGTGGTTGATTCTAGTGTTACAGATGATGTGGGGGTTTCTTTGAGCAAAGTTGATGATAATCATTTAAATGAGGCATCTGTGAATGATAATACGGGTGACGTGAACTCTAAAACTGATATTGAGACTGTGATTCCTGTTCGTGAAGAGGGTACTCCTTTGAATGATGAATCTGTAAAAAATTCAGACATCCTTGAGGAAGAAAAAGTGAATGGAGAGGATGAGTCTACCAATGGAAGTGGGTTCTGTTATGGTGAGAAGGAGAGGGAGAGATTTAACAAGATTTTAAAGTATTTTGTAGGGACTCATAATTTCCATAACTTCACCACTAGAACAAAAGCTGAGGACCCTGCTGCTCGTCGTTACATTATTTCATTCAATGCAAACATCACTCTTGTAGTTGAGGGCATGGAATTTGTAAAGTGCGAGGTTGTGGGACAGAGCTTCATGCTTCATCAGATACGCAAGATGATTGGTTTGGCAGTGGCAATCATGAGAAATTGTGCACCGGAGTCACTTATTGACAAAGCTTTTCAGCAGTGAGTGCAACTTCTATTGTTTTGTGTTATCTATAAGTTTCTATTTGAAATGCAGCGTGATTCTCATTGAATTTTTTTTTTTTTTCATTTCTGTTTTCCTAAATGCAGGGATGTTAACATTAATGTGCCTACTGCCCCTGAGGTTGGATTATATTTGGATGAGTGCTTCTTTTCTTCATATAACCAGAAGTGGAAAGATAGCCATGAAGAGTTGTCAATGAAAGATTATGAGAAAGAAGCTGAGGAGTTCAAAATGAAGTACATATATTCTCATATCTCTTCCACGGAACAGAAGGAAGGAACTGTTGCTCTTTGGTTACATTCTTTGAACCATAGAAATTATCCAGATCTGCGCATTGTCAATGAGGAAGCCATCCCTGATAACAATAGAGCTGATATTGAGGAAGCCATCCCTGATAACAAGAGAGCTGATATTGTCAATGATAACAAGAGAGCTGCTATTGAAGAACCCATCAATGATAACAAGAGAGCTGCTATTGAAGAAGCCATCAATGATAACAAGAGAGCTGATATTGAAGAAACCATCACTGATAACAAGAGAGTTGATATTGAAGAAGCTGTCGATGATAACAAGAGAGCTGATATTGAAGATGCCATCACTGATAACAAGAGTGCTGATCCTGAAGTTATGACTGAGTGAACTCTGTTCTATGTTTCGGTCATTCAATGTGAACTCTTTCTTTCTAATCTTTTCACTTATGCTTATTCTTTTATTATTCGCGGAACACCCTCCATCGCAACATATACAAATACACAAGATCTTTGTGTCCATCACTTGGTAAAGCCAAGAAATGAAAGAATATTTTCATTATATATTTTAAACCATGACTAAGCAATGGCCATTGGTTTGTGCTAAATTGAGATCCACTGTGAAAGAAACACCTATATAGCACTTGCAAATATATGACTTACGAATTTTGTTTCTTTCATCTTCTATTTATGTATTTGGACACTTCATCTACTATTTATGATCTTGTAGGTTAATACTTGTTTTGTTGCAATGTCAACAGGTGATTTCAACTTGGCATGCTTTCTATTTTATTGCGCCCGCAGCCAATAAAGCACTGATGTTTATATTCTCGGATTATAGACAAAGAATCGTTAATGTTAAATAAGCACACAATGCCTCATTAGAAGTCGTTAATTAATACAAGTTAACATCTCTTTTTGCCCCTCTGGAAGGTTGTTGTTGACCTCGTACAATGATTTTAAACAAATTTATTAGAAAATGTCGTCGATTTGTTGTCTGTGCACGCATTGAAACTGATAGTGTTTGGTGCATCGATTTTTGTGTATGGTAATTTCTATCGTGCCATATCAGTTTTAATCAATTATATTCTATTTTTACTCCAACAATGAATTTTTTTTTTAAATAATTTCAAGGAACTCAATATTTTATAATTTTTTTATTTTGAACTTCATTATAATTAATTGAGTGATAGTTCTAGTTTTAAAATCAATCGTGGTCGTCATTGTTGTTGTATATTTCTTTTATTTGTTTTCAATATTGATTTAACGATTGATCAATTTTAATAATTGGATCTTCGAAATATTCAATCATGATTGAACTAAAATTATATCATCTGGAATTGTGAATGGCATGAGATTTTTTCTACGATATTATTATCACTCCCATTAAGTTGGATACTATCAAGTCTGAGAGGTGATTTAGGTTCGCTATTAGGAGGGTCTAGGTTGGATGAAGGAGTCGTAGGACTGATGTTTGGGATGGGTGAGGGTGGTGGAAACATAGGAAATTGTGAGTTACAAGAATTTTCACTAATAGGACATGGTGGTGGATTCATTGGAAATGGTGGTGGATATACAAAATTTTGAGGATTTTCAAAATTATCACCCGTACAAGGTGTTTGATTTTGCAAAAGATGGTAATAATACTGATAATGATAATTATACTAGTTAGGATCCATAATGCAAAAAAATTAGACACAAAATTTAACTGAAAATGAGAGAAACAAAATTCAAGATTGAAAAGATTTGGATAAAAATTTTGGTCCTCTTATAATACTATTTATACTAAAATAAAAATTACTATTTTTTTAAATAAATAAAAAATCCAATGATTGCAATGTTCAATTCCTCCAACAATCCATTTTTTTTTTAAATTTTCCAATGTACCATGTTTGTATTTTTTTTAATTTCACTCTATTCCTCTAATGTCTTTCTCTCATTTTTTTCTTTTTCATTTTTTTTTCCATTTTCTCTTTCTTTTCCAACAACACACTTCTCCTTCTTTTTCTCTTCTTCTTCTCTTCTTCCCACGCCACGTCACGCCACTCTTCTTCTTCTTCTTCTTCTCTCCTTATTACCCCGTCCCGCACGCCTCTTCCACCGGTTGCATCCATCATCTCTTCCCTTCTCCCTTTCTCTTCTCTTCCCTTTCCCTCTTTTTTCAATTAAAAAAAATAATATGCTTATATTTAAATAACTGTTACTTGTAGAAACAACTCAAAAAACAGATTTTAAACAATTTTAACGCCACCTAAGACTCTTTCAATGACAAGTTTTTTTAAGGATCAGTTGCTTGGATTAAGAAACTCTCCAAAGATTTGTCACTAGAGATACTCTAAGCAAGATTAGGTCAATATTTATTCTAAATTATTTTTATAATATATTTGTAATGTTGTATACCATATAGAAAGGTGTGGAATTTTAATTTGTTTGTGAAAAGTAATTTATAATTTTCATCATCCTATTATTATATTTCATATGTCTTTCAATCTCCTTGTCTTCATTCTGACGTTAGTTATCCTTTGATTCGAGAATGTTGATTATAGTGTGGGAAAATGTTGTATTTTTTTATTTTGATATCTCATTATTAGCATTTCCCTTATTTTTCACATAGGAAAAGAGGAACTATGTGCTTCTTTATTTTAAAGAAAAAATAAAAACAAAATAAGAAGAAAAAAATCAATGAGTCAAAAGATTGTGAGGTATTTAGTTAAAGTAAAGTAGAAAGGCGAAACAAAATAAATAGTTCAAAAAATAATATAGAAGTATAGATACCACTGTTGTTCGTATTTTAATTGGAAAATTTACGGGGAAGTCTTTTTAAAATTTTAAAAAAAAATTAATAGAAGCAATTAAACTTTTATGCATTCCAAATTGTCTATCGAAACACTACCTCATATTTTCAAGCTTTATACTTTCCCAAATCTCGAATTCTCTCCATCTCTGCTTCTCATATTTTGATTAGGAATCTCGTCAACAAAGCAAAATTTGCAAACAAGCAGAACGGTGTAAAAAATTGTTTTTCTTTTTAGACATTTGGCCCATGAACGCAACAAACACTAAAGTGACGTGTTTAGGTAAGTGATTGTAGAATTAATTTTGAATAAAATTGATTTTGAAATGAAGTGATTCATATTTAAATTTTTTGTCCTAGAAGCATGTTTGGTGTATACGTTGTACATTTTTTTTTTCACTTCACATGAAAACTAGTTTTTATCACTTTAGTCAAACCGACGTTTGTAAACAAAATCAATTTTGTCTAACATTAACTAAACATACACATCTTTACCAAACGTTTCTTTAAATTCAGACAGAAAATGGAGGCATTCTCATCCTTTGAGCCATTTGTTGGGGCCATACCACCACCACTAAAACCATTCAAACCAAGACTCACCATACCCACTTCAATCTTGTCAAGAGGGAAAAGCATTGCCCGCCTCCAGAGTTGTTAAATTTTGCTGTATTTTTTCTATTAAATCTATGGTCTTTAATCACAATAAAACCCAAAAATTGCTTTTCCCTCTTGACAAGATTGAAGTGGGTATGGTGAGTCTTGGTTTGAATGGTTTTAGTGGTGGTCGTATGGCCCCAACAAATGGCTTCAAAGAAAATTTTATTTTGTTTCACTTTCTGAAAACTACTGTTTTCATGTATACACATGACCACTCATCATACAGGCTCATCCGAGAAATTTTGTTAACAGTAAATCCACCAGTTGTTGTCTTTTGAGAGTGAAAAATACAAATACAGGATCTCAAACATGTCATCCAATGAAAGGATAACAAGAAAATAACCAAGTAGAAGATATTATGTAAAGTTTAACTTGAGCTCTTATTCAATAACTTGTTACATGAGTTTATGCCATATATTTTATCATGAAACTCGTTGGAATAAGCACTAAGATGGTTTTTGAAATAAGCTAAAAAGAATTTACAGCAGTCATAAATTACATTCATACATGAGAAACAAAAATTAATTAAACCCGAATGTCACATGTTGAACCCTTAAGCCCCTACTCATATGATATTTTTAGTTGAACATTGGCATAACGTGGGAGGGCCAAGCATTATTTTAAACACCTATTTTGTTCCTAAATTCGTAATTCGTAAAGCAGTGTCGCGAATTGGAACGAAACCCTTACCACCGAAGACCAAACCCTCATGTCATGGGAACGGGACTCTCCATCTCACGTAAGTAGTTAATTGCTTCATCCTTGTCTCACTTGTGCTCTGCTGGATAATTAATTATATGTTAGAGATTGTCATACCAAGAAACATCATCTGCTTTCAACATTTTAGCTGACTCAAAATGTAAAATGTTGTCAATTCTTAAACACACTGTTAAGCCCTGCAATGTACATACTCACTCTCAAAGAGACAATTCTGGGCCATATAAAGAGATGTTTCAGCCCAAAATCACTAGAATCGGTCTATGCCTCCATGATCAAGACTAACACCACCCAAGTTTGCTTCTTGATCAATCAATTTATAAGTGCATGTTCAACCCTTTCTTGCATTGATTTGGCAACTTCAGCTTTTGCCCACATGCAAAATCCTAATGCTTTGGTTTATAATGCGTTGATTAGAGGTTGTGTTCATTGCTGTCACTCAGACTTGGCATTGGTGTATTATATGCACATGCTGAGGAACAATGTCATGCCCACCAGCTATTCGTTTTCATCTTTGATCAAGGCTTGCACTTTGTTGGAGGATTCGGGGTTTGGGAAAGCTGTTCATGGCCATATTTGGAAATATGGGTTTGATTCACATGTCTTTGTGCAGACTACTTTGGTTGAGTTTTATTCGACTTTGGGTGAAGTGGGTAGCTCAAGAAAGGTGTTTGATGATATGCCTGAAAGAGATGTTTTTGCTTGGACTGTAATGATTTCGGCATATGTTCGGGATGGGGATATGGCTTCTGCAGGGAGATTGTTTGATGAGATGCCTGAAAAGAATATAGCTACATGGAATGCCATGATTGATGGGTTTGTAAAATTAGGGAATGCC